TCAGTAAAGGTTACTAAATAAATCTGTGCCACTGCTTGTAGAAAGCATTCTGTGATGGAGGAGGTTTATCCATCTACATGAATCATGAATGACTTGCAGGAAATCTGTATTTCAAAATAATCCAGCACAAAATAACACTCTTTGACAGCCTCTACTCAACGAGGGCGTTTTCCAACTCACAGTTTTGAAAAATAATAATAATAATAAATAAATGATTGCAAAATTTGGAACAGTTACTGGCTCATTTTCTTACCCCCGAGAATTGAAAATGTTCCTGTCTGGAGTTACAGATGTTCAACAATCCAATAAGAGAATCTTCTACGACGCTTAATCTACGTAGCAATTAAAAGAACGAGATTTTAATCCTGATATAATCTGAAACTTTTTATTCCAAAGCAGAAGAAAAACCAGACACTGAAATGAAAACGGGACTTGGCGTTACTTCATTTGACTTTGGCAGCTTTCCCCCTGCGTTCCTCCCTGCAGGCGAAGGATTAATAAAACCAGCTTCTCCTCTCTGGGAGCAGGATACACTTCTTTAGCTCCCCCTTTCATCCTCCCCCCTCTCTCCCCTTGCAGGTGGCCCCGTTCTCTCTGAGCCGGGCTGCAGAAAGAATTCACATGGAAATGGGCCACGGGCTCTCAATAGACCACCGTAACCTGCATGAGAATCAAGCTTCAAGTGTGCATTTAGGTTGCACTGCTCCCTTTTACTGTACATGATGGGATGGATGTAAACTCAGCAGATTAGGATGGACCTCCCCCACGCCCCACCCCAAGACATGTTTAAGAGAAAGTACAGTGTGAAGTAAACTTAACGTGTCACAGCCCCGCAGAACAAAAACCTTGTGGTGTGTATTTTAAATTATTTTTTCTAACGCCACATTTATTCCATCGTGCGCTTCTCTTCACCTACACAAGAATATTCAGCTTCACACGTTTTTACAGACGGCGTGTGTGCTGTCAACTAGCCTCAGCTACTACCACACCTCATTGTTAGCTCAATATCTGTCAAGTCCACGAAGCGATCACATTTTATGTGTTTGCTAAGATCAGTTGGCTGCGGCGGCCATCTTGAATTCGATGGAGCCCAAAAGATAATCAGTTGTAGAAGCCAAAGATGATCCGTTCGGTGGTTTATGACAGATTTTGTTAGAAGTTTGACTCCAGTGGTTGTTTTCAGCAGAGACCGAGCAAGAGGCTTAAAGGGCGTGTTGTGGTTGATGCTCAGCTACTACCACAACAAGTTTAGCTCCAACTCCATAGAAAGGACAGAGTTAAAGTCGTTTTGGTGTTTTATAATGGCATTTGGCTGTGGCGGCCATCTTGAAAAAAGTCGACTCCAAAACTTCATTAGTCATGCATTCCAACCCACTCATTAAGTTTCATACAAGCTCGTGCAGATGTTCAGGAGATATTTTGCTAACAGAGATGACAACAAATAATTGACCAAGTTTTAAACACAGACTTGATGTGGTCGTTAGCCCTCAAATTTTAAGGAGATCATTTTTAGCTACAACCGCACCAAACCTTATCTCAATATTCGTAACGTTGACGGAGTTGTTGCCATTTTTAGTTTTCAAAGATCCTTTTGCTGTGGCGGCCATTTTGAAATGGGGTGAGTTGAAAAGTTGATCACATCTTTCACCTTTTGACAACTGGTAGGACTTCAAAATAAAAATAATAAAGTTTAGTTTTCAATGCAAATAAATTTCTGAGCAACGTTTTGTTCCTGGTAAAAACTCCGACCCAAGGAAGTAAACAACTTTCTGAAGCACCTTTAACTGGAAAAACTAAACGGATTCTGAATCATTTTCACAACCGTCTTTTGACAGTGACGCAAACGAACGCGATTTCTCGTGAGGATAATTAAAAACATCAGCAGCCTCTGCTCCAGGAACACTGAACTGTTCTGACGGCTCCATGAGTTCCTTCCAAGTGGTTCGAGGGTGTGACCTGTTGAGTAACACCCAAGATATCGTAAAAACACTTCTGAGAAACCCTCAGCCCCTCCCGTCTCGTAACGCCGCCGTGCTCTGTAGAAATGAGCTTTCGGAGCAGAACATGTTGTGCAGTGTGCAGCCAGACGCCATCCAGTTGGAGAAAGAACTGCCGCTCAGTCGGGCCTCCGGGCTTTTCCTGAGAACAGCTGGGCTGACTCCACCGAAGCACAAAAACAGGCAAGTCTTAAGTAAACAACTCCAAACATGACCATGAAGACGTAGCAGCGCGCCTTCTGAGAGTTTAGGCATTTATTTACTCTAATAAACATTTCCCAGAGGACTTCAGAAGGACAAGAAAAAGAGAAGGAACGCTCTTTCGTGCTTCAGCAGGAAAAGGAACGAGCCTGAACTCATTCGTGCGCGACGCAGATGTGGAGAACGGAGAGGAAAGCAGCATCAGGAAAAGTGACACACGTTTCCTTCCTTGGCAGTCAAGTAAGGAAGAGGCACCTGGGCTTCTAGAGAGAACATGATTCCTAAACATGTGAACAAAATACGGTCACGTGACCACAACGCTGTACCATATTTCCTGTTCAAGGCCTCCACCGCCAGAGAAAGGCTGCGTTTGCACCGTGTGTTACTTCATGAACCAGAGGGTCGATGTTAATGACGCTCCACAAGTAAGAACTGAATGGACGTCTAGGACTGTTTTACTACTGGAGTCAATCCAATTCAAGATGGCCGTCACTAGCAAACACTAAAAAAAGATTATAACTCAGCCAAGTCTAGACATTGAGCTAAAACCTGACATGGAGGTAGCTGACCATCACCCCCAGCACATACTCCAAATACCACACATCACATGCATTTACTTAAAACGTTGGCATTGAATGTGTGCATCAGCTCTGGCTCTGTTAGCAAAATATCTCATGAACCACTTAACCCATTTTAATGACACTCTCAGGAAGTGATCATTGGGGTGTCCTCCTACAACCGATTAACTTTTGGAGTCAACACAACCCAAGATGGTTGCCACAGAGAGCTGACCTTAGAAAGCACACAAACGGCTATAACTCAGTCATATTTACCGATATTGTGCTAACCTTTGGAGTGGTAATAGTTAGGAGTCATCCTCAACACATGCTTTGAGCATCATCACATCTTAGGAGATTTCACAATTTGGCATGAGCAAAACATCTGCAACAGTAGACGATCTTAGTCAACATCTCTGGCATGAAAGTGGGCAGGTGACACGTAATCATTTAAGAAAACTAGACCTTTAGCTCATTTATTCTGGGCAATTGATAAATGTAAAGATAGGAGTCACATAAATCTAAAAATATCCAACTTATCAACGATGGAGCCCTAAAACCACAAAAATGAGGAGAAATCTAGAAGAGAAATGCCGTTCTCTATTTTTAAATATGATGAACGAAGATTGAGCCCCGGCTGATAAAGGTCTAAACTCTTGATGTTTAACAGAATCAGTTTTCCAGTGAGGTAATTTGCAAACTACCCCTTTGCATGAGTTATTTGAGGAAGCAGCTGCTCCATCAGACAGCTGCTTTGTTCGTTTCAAAGGAGCGAGAGAACAACTGTTGAAGCATCAGGTTCTACGTCAGAGTCGTGCCCCGGCTTGTTGCTCTGCCTCAGACTGCACCTTCCATCCCCGAGGTCCAACGCCTCCTCAGACTTACAGCACGCTCCTTTCAGTCGGACTTGGTTTTAAACCTGTTCACAACACGTCAAACATGTGACCCGTGTGATATTCCACATACAGCCCGACAGAGTCTGTGTGATTTTTGCAGCATTCGACGCGTCTGTGTTGAAAAACTCCCACGAGGCGTGTTGCAATTTTCCTGCGGTCATTAAAATACACGCTCAGGATTGGGGTGTGCTCGTCTGTTGACATAATTACTGTGCAAAGCTGCAGAAAATAAAACCAAAAGCCAATTTGTAGAGTAAGAATTAAAGGTTAGGCTGACTGAGCATACATTTAGTTTTGTTGCAGAACGTCCTGCGATGGAAGCAGCTCCTCCTGGAAACGACTTCAGCTGCTCGTTAAAGGAAGTTCTCGCCCACAGCTTGGTTTAATATTTTATCTCTCCCAGGTAACACAAGGTCTCAGTTCTCAGGCTTGGTATGAATTTTAAATTCAAGCATAAACACCTCGGTGTCGAAATGGTTCTAAACACTTTATTTAGCAAAACAATGATTTCTTGTCTAAGGTCAACAAGGCCAGTGTGGAAAAACTACTGTACATGAGCATTTCTGGTATTCTGTCTAAACGCATCTATAAAATCAAACACATGATCAATTTCAAATCTGTAAACTCCTTAAAAATTGATGCTCTAAAGTGCTTTAGAAAAAAATAGATACAAGACAGCAGGCAAACTGATAACGTGATAAACATCATTCTTTCGTTTTCCCACCAAAAAAAAAAATCCAGTGTGAAAAATGTAGAAGTTATAACATTTAAAACAATTAAATACTATCGTCTCTCAGGTGCAAGGTTATTTATTTCATTCCCATACAACCTTCATCTACTCATTTTTGGTAATATTGTTTAAAACTGCCTTTTAAAACCATTTAGCATCCTTTAAACAACTCCTGACACCCTTCCACACCCCGAACCCTCCGTGATGTTTAAAGGTACCCACTGCAAATTATGACATCACAAGTTAAAAAAATAAAAGGTTATCATGAACTATATCATACGTTGCAGTATGATAATTTATTCCAGTGGTTTTCCAGATATATGGATGAGCAATTCCAACCTGTGGGTACGCGCTCAACGTAAACAAAGAATTAAAAAACCACGTGGAAGCTTGGGTCATGTGACCGACCTACATCAGGCCGGCTCGAGTCTCTGCAGGTAAACAAAATGTGGTAGAATTACACAAGCAGGGTGCCCCGCCCTGTCAACAGAACCGAGCACCCTGCCCACCAACCCCCCACGACAACTGCCAGCACTGACCTAGCGCTAATACAGGCGCGCTAGCTAAAATGCTATGTCTATGGAAGTAGCTCCGTTTCCCTCACGCTGAGCCGCCGCCAACCCCCCCACTTGACAACTGTTGGTACAAATGATGCGCAACATAGACGTGTCTCCGTCTCCACCCCCCGGGTCGAGAAAAATCCCGGCGCCCCGCCAAGGCACGTAAACCGTGGTAAACACAGGGCAGAACGTCAAAGACGGGCGTAAACATAAAACTGACCCGAGTCAAACGGTCACGAATGATCACGTCCTGCTGCTAGCTGAGATTTACCTCTTCCAGTTTCACCAGTTCAACACGGAGGCCGCAGCACGTCAGTACAGGATGTGATGGCGTCTACAGATGGGAGGGGAGCGAGCGCTAGGTGTTGTGTCAAAAAATGCACCCGAACTGGAAAAGCACCAACAACTTGAAACGACGAGGAGCCAGAGTTAAATCAGACTCCGTGCAAACAACTTTTATCTGAACACTCAACACATCCCCACAACTTTCATCTCAAACCAGTCTCGGACAGACGTAAAGCTGTTTTTTGACTTCATGAATTTGCAGCGAGTACCTTTAATCCCTCTTTATATTCTATTTGCACATGTCTGAAACCTTCAACTCTTCCTGCGGCGTTCCTTTACGTTCACTTCCTGATCCACAGCACGACCACGAGCGAGAACCTTAAAGCTCAGTTTGGACTGATAAAACTCAGCAGCGTGAACAGAAACCTGCAGCAGAACTTTAAATCCACCCAGGCAACAGATTTTCCTTCACAAGAAAACATCGGACGAGCTCGTCTCCTCAGTCTTATCTCTTCTTCTTCTGTTGTCGCAGCATCTTTCTCCTTTTCAGGACCATGTCGTACAGTTTGTCCAGGCCCTCGTTCAGGCCGTCTCCTATGATGGCGCAGGATGGCTGTAGGTGCCAGGGAGTCGCAGGACCCAGTTCTTTCAGCGCTAGCAGTTTCTCAATTTCATCTAGTCCCAGAGCGTGCCTCAAGTCCTGCTTGTTGGCCACCACCAGCACCGGTACCCCCTGATTCTCAGAGGTCTTCACGATCTTATGCAGCTCCGTCTTGGCCTCCTCCATGCGTTCGACGTCGACAGAGTCCACCACGAATATGATTCCATCTGTGCAGCGCGTGTACGATTTCCACAGGGGACGAAGCTTCTCCTGACCGCCAACATCCCAGAAGTGGAACGTGACAGTCCTGTTGCCGCCCAGAGTCACCCTAACCTTCTCTGAATTGAAGCCTCTGGTGGGCACGGTGTTCACGAACTCGTTGAACTGCAGTCGGTACAACACCGTGGTCTTCCCAGCAGCGTCCAGGCCCAGAATGGCGATGTGAAAGGACTGGAAGAACGACATCTTTGGGCAGAAATTCTGTTGTTCAGACAATCCATTCCCCATCTTCCCACATGGGAAGATACAGGCGATTAAAAAAGGTTAAAGGCAGGCGTCCAGATAAACTCCTTAAAAGGTGCTTCAAATCCAAACCAGCTGCAGCAACCTGCAAACACAACAGATGTTACTCTGGTGAGACAAATACTTGATAAAAGCTTTAGGTCTTAAAAAACCGTGTAGTGACATTTACACAGACCTCATTTCAAATCGTTCGTTTCCTTTGAGGAATAAAAGAACAGAAGTGTTCTTGCAGCTACAGTCGGGTTCTCACTGTTGGAGACCAGAGCCACATTTTTGTTGCAGCCTAAATTAATTACAGGAGTTAGGAAACTAAGAAGAGTTGTGGGACAATGTAGAGACGCCCCCTCAAACACTTGTAGCTGACAGGATGAGTCTGCAGAATAAAAAACTGTAATCTAACCAACGTAAAGATTCCCCGCAAAATATTTAGTTTGAATTAATTTTCAAAACAATACCACTGGCAATAAAATGTTTCCAGAACGGTAATTATTCCAAAACAACTTTAATTGTCATGAAAATTCTTATTTAGGATTATTAATTAGTGTTTTCTTTAAAATAACTGCGTACACACACACAAACAAAATTAAAACAAACAAAAAAAACCTTTAAAATAAAAAAGGACCAACAATCACCATAAGAAGGGAGGAAGGTGAGAGGTTCAACACATCAAATATATAAACTAGATAAACAATAAAAACATGTTTCTTTTTTCACAATTACAAATATGAAGTCAGCAATACAAACTACTTGTTTGTATCTTTACTGACTATATAAAACTAAAGGCAGTACTTCAGTACTCTGCTGAACACGGACTAATAGAAGTAATTCATTTGCAATACGTGTCTAAGGAATGTCATCTTTATAATAAATGTGTCGTTTATAATGTACATTTATAATAAATGTGTCGTTTATAATGTACATTTATAATAAATGTGTCGTTTATAATGTACATTTATAATAAATGTGTCGTTTATCATGTACATTTATAATA